GTTCCGGCCCTACATCTAGTATTTACTCTTCGTCAGTCCACCTTGCCCATGCACGGATATATCGTCAATATCTCTCTCCTTAAGCGCATTGTTATTCTCGCTGAGGTGAAGGTCACAGTAGTAGGCTATAAACGTAAAAATATGTGCCCACGAGAGGTAAGGCACTGCACTTGACTCTATCTTGCGAATGAAGGCATGTTAGTCCCCCGTATAGTTTCAATTGATTTCTTATTACGTGTATAGTTTTTCTTACTTGAATAGGGGTTCATTTTTATTTACGTTAAAAAATTTCCATTTAAGATAATAGGTACTACTCAATAAGTAACAAACTGCCTTCCATGAACTCAGCATTATTATCTCAGTAGCTTACTAAATGATAATTCGTGTACCGATATTCAGGAAAGTACGCATAATCATCTAGCTGTGATATCTCAAATCAAATGACTTGATCTAAAGTAAAGTTTTATAATTGATTTATTTTAATAGAAAATGAGCTAAAATGTTAAAAGTAATAAATATCTTTTAGGGAAGAGTAAATTCAAGGCTACTCTTTTACAACGGAGAAACTGTTTACGCTAGTAACAGCATAATATAGGCACAGCTTGCTTCAGTCGTGAAAAAAGTATAAATTATCATATGTTCATAGGCACATATTTTCCATTTACCAAAGACGAGTGCCACGCACGCTGAATAGAATTAGTGGAGCTATTCTTAGCTGATAAGAAAAAATAACACAGAATATAACACTCATTCCTTTAAGAATAACAAAAAAAGTTGAAACAAGCTTACTAGACGATACCAAATGGGCCACTCGCCATTTTGAACTACCTTATAAATAATGAGTTTTAAGGGCTACAACCTAACAGTGCTTTTTTTAAAAATTATCTAAAGCTGACTTATCGTAATCCTCATTCAACTGCGGCCATGTGATTCAATCTCTCTATTTCTATACATAATCCTACTTACGCTCAAATGGTTTATGCCAAAAACTGTAAAAGTTTCCATTATACTATTATATCTTCTTTGGTTCTATTTTCTGTATGGTTCATGTAACTATGGTATCTAATTTAGAATTATCATCTCTATTATCTCTTGTTTCCTAATCCACCTTGACAGGTTATGTTAGCAGAAGAAGCGCTTCTGCATAGCCTAGGATTGGTCTTCACAGTGCTCGCCTTCTGGCTTACGCGCCAGCTGAAGTTCAGCATTGCCACTCGTCAGAGCAAGATGGACGAATTTCTACTCTACACTGCCTTTTTCTTTACACTTAATTATCTCATCTCGACAATCTCGCTAGTGGCTGCCACGGATACAGAAAATGCCGTAAGAAATAGCTTTTAATTATAGCTATACGTGACGCACTGCTATGTACCATAAATAAACCTGCAAGTGTTACATTCTTGAGAGATATGAAAATCTTAAAGGAGAAATGATGGCTCAAGTCCATAAAGGTCATAATCATTTATTAATGAATATAATAGAAGGATATAGTTAATGGCCACCACATTAACTGATAGTGCCGAGTATCATGATGAGATAGATTTAAAATGTAGTCAATCATCGGTCAGATATCATAAGAGCTTGCAACTCATTGAAATATACCACACTAAATAAATCAAACACGTTATTTGATAGAAAATGGCATATTTAGTTATTTATAAAAATTGTTTTCCCCATGGATGTTTAATTTTTCTTCAACTGCTACCCTTAGGTCTCACAATGATTTTTAACTTGACTTAGTCTTGCCTCCTAAGG